GCGGGAGCGCCGCCACACTCCCAAGCGCTGCACTCTACCGAGTGCGCCACCGGGCCAGCCCGGACCCTTAGAATTTTGTGTCCTACTCCCAGATTTTGGGGTCACACATCCAGAAGTGTTCTATCTACAACACTGTTATTGTAAAAATATTTGTTTCTTGCTTTTTACTTCTGCCTTGAAGACATATACATGTACCCCAAGCAGGGTCTCGGGTTAGCATGACACAGCTCCTTTCAACGTGGTGGGGACAGTGTCTGTCTATACTCATTCTATGCTATGCTAACCAGACAACACCTGGTTCAGGGGGGCCCAAGGACAACTGGCCCCACTATGGGGCTGGCTTGTCACACCCAGCCCCATACAGGCAGACGGAGTTCAGCTGCCCATGGCGACCTCTCAGGGCTCCTGGGGCATCTGCCAGTCCAAGACACGTAGCAGGATGTTCCTGAACAAGGGACCCTGAAGCATATTTCTTTCTCCAGGTCCCCTGGGTCGAAAGTTGGCCACCATCCCCACAGATGCCCCGAGCAGCCTTTCCATGGATATGACATGTCCTTATGTCAGCAATGTGCAAATACACACTAGACATGGCAGATTCAGAATCAAGTTGACCAGTCCTGCCTCACCAAGCCTCCCTGGCAGAGACCAGCAGGCACTGAAGATGAGCAACGCGGCCGGAACAAGGCCTGGCCCACCCTTCTGTGCCCCCTCACCCTACCTGTCCCCACCCGCCTGTAGACACCCACCTCAAAATCATCCTTCAGTCTCCCCAAGATGAGGTGCTGCCCAGATTTGCCATCCCGGCTCATGGCATCTCCACCCACCCATCTATCAACATCTCATACCCACTCACTCACCTGCAAGCAATTATTAAGCACTGCCTGTGTACAAACCAGGGGCATAAAAACAACCAGGCCAGTGTTCCTGAGCCCCAGGAGCTCCAGTCTGGTGTCTATGAACCTGTGTTTGCAGCAGGGGGACCCCAGGGCCTTGGCATACCCCCTTCTCCTCACCCCCTCCTCAGCCCTGGTGCGTGTCTGCAATGCTGGGCCTCCGGGACGCTGGATCAGCCTCTCAGCTGCTCCTTGTCCAAGCTTCCACCTGCTCCAAAGTGCACTCTGTGCAGCAGCCAGAGGGCCTCTGAGACCCAGCCCTATCCCGCCAATTTTCTGCTGGGCCCCCACGGCCTCCACCAAGCTGGTCTCTGTTCCTGGCTTGCCAGGCAGGCTTGACCCCTGTCCCCAGGCCTCTCTGCATCCCTAGCTCAAGACATGCTTGGTATAGCA